ATCCTTGAGTTATCAATTTTTAGTAGAAAATCGGTATCTATTAACCCTTTGAGTACTGAGATTCAAAGTAGGAAAATAAATAGGTCGAGTTTCTCTTCTTTATTTTCAGACACAGGATATTTTATTTAACGAAATTTTTTACTCACAGAGTAGTTCACAGTCTCGGCAAATGATTAATAAATAATAATAACACGAGTCTCTTTTCTTATCACTTTTTGTTTTGTTTAAAGAAATTTTTAATTCATAGTGTAGTACATGTTTTCACAGAGTTTGCAGTCAGTAATTGTAGTAATACCATTACTGTCCTCAAAGGGTCAATAGAGAGGTGAATTAAAAAATTCGCGAGTAAAAGGGGAGGAAGGAAACATAAAAATGTCGACACTGTGACATGAAAAAGCTGTAGGTGCCAATAATTGAAATTTCAAGAAATTTTTAGCCATAGAACTCATTGTCGACCTGTCTATTATGGCTCGATCGTAAAATTGTTGGATCCGTTGTTTCCAAAAGAGCCACTCATGACACTCTTGAAAAAATACCAAAGAAGATATGTACATGTTTAATTCATAAAATATCCATTCGTTACTAAAATCAATCACAAAATTCCAGAATTTGTATAATAATCATTATGAATAAAAAAATTTCAAAGTATTTATTTATTATTAAATTCAATAATAAAATTGACGAATTTGTAATTGTGAATAAAGATAACAATTGATAATATATGATAATAAAATTGACAAATTTGAACGATAGTGATTACGAAATAAAAGAATTCCGATAATTTGAGCTTACCAATGGTGGTGATTACCACGATGGAGTAAAATAAAGCACCAGCAAAGGTCCATTGGATGTCGTCCTCCCCCTCCCTGCCATCCCAACCTTCTTTCTCCATCATCCACACGAGGTTGTTCTCGAAGGACTGTGAAGAACATTAAGGACTCTGAAATTTTCGAATTTCAAAGTTTTCGAATTCCTAATGTTTTAAATTCCGAGAGACCCGAATTCTCGAATTATCGAATATCCAAGTTTTCGAATTCCTAATGTTTTAAATTCCGAGAGACGGAATTTTCGAATTTTAGAGCTGTTGAATTCTCAAAGTTAATTCCGAAAATTCTGAATTCTCAAATTATCGAATTTCAAATTCCTAATGTTTTAAATTCCTAGAGACCCAAATTCTCAATTTTCGAATTTTAGAGCTGTTAAATTCTCAAAGTTAATTTCGAAAATCCCGAATCCTCGAATTATCGAATTTCAAAGCTTTCGAATTCTGAAACTTTCAAATTTTCGTGGAAATTGAAGTTCGATACGATAGAAATTGGGCTGCACCGGTACCTTTAATTCGCGTAACGCTTTGTCGGTCCAGTTCTCGCGAATCAGAACCTCCACCTCCTTGGTGATCTTCCATAGCTGCTCTGAAACGTTCCCTCTGATATCCTTGATGCTCTTCTTTATCTAGAAACGGTGAAAAAGTGGATAAAGAAGGAGCTAATGGAGGAATAAGAGAAGTTACAAGGAGAAAATGAGAGAAGATGAAAGAGAGAGAATTGGTAGAGATAAAAGAGGAGAAGTGTTTTCTGATGTCTTTCCATTTCTACTTCTTCGGTTTCGTCGATCGTGTGTTCAGAGGGAGGAAATTGTATTGTTGGATTGAAGTTAAATGTATTTTTTTTTAAAGGGAGGAGAAGATAGTTGAAAAGGTGGAAAATTGTCGAAGACAAATTTGGAAACAGAGGATTTAGAGAGAAGAGAAATGAAAGGGTTAGGAGTATATCAGAATTAGTTTCGTTAATTGGAGAATAAAGAGATGGTACAAGATGAAAAATTGTAGAGGATTTAGAAAGGAAAATAAGGGTGAAGAATGTAAAAGAGATATTAGACACAGGAAAAGAGAAATCTATGAAAGATATAAAAAAAAAAAAAAAAAATAGGGAAAACAAGAAAGATGAAGAATGAAAGATTGACTAGAAATGAGAACAATGTTATAAATGTAGCAGAAAAAAAGTTTGGAAGAAATGAAGTAGAAGAGTGTGAAAGACAAGATAAAATAGAAAAATGAAACAATATAGAATACTTCCAAATTACTTTACTAAAAATCTGTTAACCCTTTGCACACCGAGCATTTTTTGATAAGATTAATAGTGAACCTTCTGGAAAGCCAAAGTTTTGTCTTGAAAAAAAAAAGGATTTTTAGTGTTTACGAATTTATTTATTTGTATTTCTTGTGTTATTTGCATTATTTTGATAATATAAAATAATATAAAAAAAAGTCTGAATTGTACATTTCTCCAAAGTAATTACGCGTGACGCCATAAAAGCGCCATTGGAGTGCAAAGGGTTTAATAATCTGAAAGTACAGAAAGAACATAAAATTAAGAAAACAGAGAGAAAATGTATAGAAGAAAAATTGAAAAAAGAAAGAAGAGTACAAGAAACCTAAAGAAAATCCAAAAAAGAAACAGTAGAAAGTACTTCCAAATTACTTTGCTAAAAATCTGTTAATAATAAAAAGAACACAAAATGAAGAAAACAAAAACAGAAAATCTATAGAAGAAAAATAGGAAAAAAAAAGAAACCTAAAAGAAGAGTGCAAGAAACCCAAAGAAAATACAGAAACGAAACAGTACAGAATACTTGGAAAATTGCTTTCCTAAAAATCCGTTAACAATTTCCATTTTCTAGCAATAGATCATTTCTTTCCCGAAGAATACCGACGACCAGCGTATGCATAAGAACGACTAGCATAATTTTTCCATAAAATTGAAATAAATATTCGCGACGTCTACCTCCTTCTCGTGTGTCGCCTCGAGGGCCTCGAAAGCGTACGCGCCGATCAGGCAGTACAGCACGACCAACGAGACCAGCGACACGTGGGAAAAAACACATCTGAAGAACTTCCAGAGGAAACGCAGGAACCTGATGCACTTCGAGGGCTTCTCAGCCTCGGCCATCAGCTCGAACGCTTCCGGTCGCGAGCGTGGCATCGTGCTTTCCGCTCCGAAGCACGCTCTTCTCTCCCTTAAATTTCCTTCCCGCCACACTTCATCCAACCAACGCGAATTTCACCCTTTTCTTTCACCTCGGTTCCGCGATATTTCCTACGTCGCCGGTATAAATTCCACTCGACTGCGATTCCCATTCGAAGTGTTTAAAGATCGTTGTCACTTTCCTCCGCAAAAATATAGCGAGGGTAGTTTACGGCAATATCCGCTTATGGCAGTTTCGTTTCAGATCGTTTTCTGATAAAGGAATTAGGTTTCCCTCTTTGTGCTATGATATATCTGCTCTGGTGATTTTGTACATTTTTTGAACCAAGATTTAGAAATCTTTGGATTTTCTGGATTTCTGGATTTAGAAATCTTTGGATTTTCTGGATTTCTGGATTTAGAAATCTTTGGACTGGTGATTTTGTACATTTTTTGAACCAAGATTTAGAAATCTTTGGATTTTCTGGATTTAGAAATCTTTGGACTTTCTGGACTTCTGGATTTAGAAATCTTTGGACTTTCTGGACTTCTGGATTTAGCAATCTTTGCACTTTCTGGATTTCTGGATTTAGCAATCTTTGCACTTTCTGGATTTCTGGATTTAGAAATCTTTGGATTTTCTGGATTTCTGGATTTAGAAATCTTTGGATTTCCTGGATTTAGAAATCTTTGGATTTTCTGGATTTCTGGATTTAGAAATCTTTGGATTTTCTGAATTTCTGGATTTAGCAATCTTTGGACTTCCTGGATTTCTGGATTTAGAAATCTTTGGATTTCCTGGATTTCTGGATTTAGAAATCTTTGGACTTTCTGGACTTCTGGATTTAGAAATCTTTGGATTTCCTGGATTTCTGAATTTAGAAATCATTGGATTTTTTAAATCTTGGAAGCATCGTAAGTTCTTGGAACACTGTTTTAAGGATATTTTAAGTGCTCTCCTTTTCTTTTTTTTGGAACACTACATTAAGGGTGTTTTAATTTCTTTTTTTAGAATACTGCTTTAAAGGCGAAGTTTATAGTGAAAGAGATTCGTTGCAGTAATTCATTCTAATTATTAATTTAATGTCTGTTCTAATTATTCTACATATTTTCAGTGTTAGTTTACACCGAGAAGAAAATCATTTAAATTCTTCATTTAAAATATTGGTAAATTTACATTGAAAACATTCACTGCACATAAAATATCAGGTGGATAATTAATCTTCTTATTTCATAGTATTATAACAAATATCAAACATTTTAGTAATTCCTATTTATGAAATATCAGTTCAATTAATCTTCTTATCGCGAATATTAATTCACAGTATGAAATATCGAATATTTTAATCATTCCTATTTTTATTTTGAATATCACACAATTTATGTTCAATTTTAACTATCAATTCATTCTCATTTAAAGTGTCTATCTCACACAGACTATCACTCTAAAAATCGATCCTTTTCTACTATCAAATACCAGGGGTTCACTCGAATGCAACTTCCTTCAATTTTTTTCATTCAAAATACCGGACAATTTTCGTTAAAAAGAAAATCTACTTGATTTAATCTATCACTGTAATAATCAAACATTCCTCTGCTCTCTGTAGATCGGAGAATATTTTTCGTCAATTTAACGAAAGTGTTGCTCACGTGACACTGAACGTGTTAATGAGCAACGAAAGTTCCCAAACGAGCTCTTTTTTTCTCACAGTTCGTTCTAAACGTCGTGGTTTATTGAGTTTTCCATCGCGATGTTGGAGAAGCGACCTTCGACGTGAAACTAACTACGAAACTAACGTAAAACACAGTCGTGTTCCGTTCGAGATCGTTGTTCCAAATTTATCCCACCTATGCTATCGCCGAAATTTCGTTTCGAGGCTCTACGAGCCGTCCATTCTCCATTTCACGAGGCAGAAATTCCGTAAAAAAATGTCGCTTTTCTTCTCAAAGCCAAACAGAAGAAGAAATTTCGAAAAATCCTTGACTGATGTGACAAACAATCGAAAAATCCGAAAATAAAAAAGACGACAGATATTTCTTTGTGTATAAAAATTTAATTTCCATTAGGATTTATGGTTTTGAATTATCGATAAATTTGTAACACAAGTCGCTTTACCATTAAAAAATGGAATATGTTCGAACATTTTTGTTTCAGATTTAGAAAAAAGTTTATTCGATTCTTAAATTATAACACGATTTATGGGCCGCCCTGTATTTATATTTACCAGAAAACGTGTAATTCTGGTAATTTTGTTAAAATTATTCCAACTTAAGAAAAATAATTTGGCTTTATTTCGTTCGTTGAGAATTTTTCGGATTTAATATATTCAGTTATAAAATAATAGAATAAATAGTTTTTTAATGATTTATGCAGTCGGTTTTTTTGGAACAGATGTCTAGTATATCTTCAAAAGGTTTTGTAGTATAATCACAGACGACGTACAGAATAGACCTCCCACTCAGTGCAATTTTTTGTCTACGTCACGGGGGTTCTGAAGCCCCCTTACCATTTTCCTGCTGTTTCCAACGTTACCGATACAGCATAGAATAAGATTACAACATTAGTAGTGGTTGGCATTAGAATTACCTCGTCTGTAATTTGATGTACCAGATAAATTATCATTTTCTTCTCTATCTACGTCAAATTTAAAATGGCCATGATTTTATGTGAAATAACGCACGATGTCAATTATCAGTTTGAAATGTTCAAGAAGTTTGACTTGATTTTCTAACAGTTTAATATGTCAATAATTGTGCTGAGTTTGAAAAAAATCTATGTTATAGTGGCAGAAAGTGTCCAATTTGATATAGACTGTTTCATATTCAGGATATGTACTCGACAAGAGAATCGCCGACCGAATAATTCCGAGCGTTGCCGAACTCTCTCGACCACTGTTCTCAAACGCAGCGAAAATCATGTGCAAAACGAACGTTTATGTTGAAAACAATTGTATTTCTCTAAGTTGAATGTGAATACAAGTGATATTAAGAAGTGTATGTCGTTGATTTATTCTGCTATTTGGTGTTTCATGTCGATAGGATTTCCGATTTCTTAACAGCAAAGATTGATATATTACAAAACGTCAGAACGTCTGAAATATTGAACGTCTCTTCGAAATTTCCGCTGCTACATACTGTGAACAGGATGTTTCGTGTGACAATAAAGATCTTTTGAAGAATAAAAGTGATTACTGCGTAGTTAAATAGTTGCTCTCGAGAGTATGTACTCTCAAACAGTGTGTCCAACTCTCCGCAAGCACTCGCAAACAGCAAAGATTTTTACGTATTACAAAACATCTAAAATACTGAACGTCTCTTCGAAATTTGCACTGCTAAATACTTTGAACAAGGTGTTCCGTGTAACAATAGGGATCTTTTAAAAATTAAAAATGACTACTGCGTAGTTTAGATAGTTGCTCTCGAGAGTACTCTCAAAGTTTCTTGCCAGAACAGCAAGGATTGACGTATTACAAACCGTCTGGACGTTCGAAACACTGAACGTTTGAAATACTGAACGTCTCTTCGAAATTTGCACTGTCGGACACTTTAAATAACACGTTTCGTGTAACAATAAAGACCTTTTAAAGGATAAAAGTGACTACTGCGTAGTTTAAATAGTTTCTCTCGAGAGTACTCTCAAATTGTGTCCACGTTTCTGACAGCACTCTCAGTACTGATAAATTTGACTCTTGAGAGCAACTCGCGAGAGTTTTACTCTCAAATAGAAACGTACCTTAACATTGATCAAATTAACAAATTAAGATGTAGATATTAATTGTGTTGGAGATTATTGAGTTTCTAAGCAATTAAAATGTGTTAAAGAAGCTTTGGGGTATCTGGACAACTAAATTTCGAAATTTTCGAATGAGCTGTCTCGAATAGTGAGGTTACCCCCACTCCTATATCCAGTTGCCTAGCAACGACATGTTGATTCGTCAGTTACTTCTGGACGTCGTAGAGTGAACGTAGTTACGTGCGTGTTAAGAAGGTATGTATTACTATAAATTTAATTAATCAATCTCTAAGTGTCTCTAATCGTTTCCTTTAGTTAATACTTGTTTAATTCTTCTTAAATTAAGCGTTTGTTTATTTTGTTACAGGTTTTTGGCTATACTAAAACTTCGAAAAGAACGAACGTTCAACCGACGCAGTAACGACGCCACGACACCTCGTATTCGAAATCGACTGAAGTAGCGGGAAATTGGCAAGAGCAATTTGTTCCAGCAATTATGTAAGTAGACACATAATCCTTTAATTTATTTAGATCACTGCTGAACGGCTGGGATGTAAATACACCTATCCCGCGATTTACACGATTTCACTTTTACATGGTTTTCAAAATAACGGCTTTTTAATACCGTTCGTTTGTTAACACTGGCATTAAACCAAAAAATGAACGTAATTTCCCCCTTTTTTGCACCCAAAAAGCATTCATATTGTAACGTTTATTTTCGCTTATTATTTCCGGCTATTTTCGCCTTCATCAATCGCTCGCTCGAAACTAAACCCTGACCCTGAATATTTTTTGTTTTTCATTTTTATTTTATTTTTATTTTACATTTAAAATAATGAATTTAATTAAATCACTGACTAAATTATGCGCATTTCGTATTTTCCCCGATTTACACGGTTTTTCATACAAAAAGCTATTCTGAGGCACCGATCATCAGTGTAAATCGGGGGACAGGTGTATTTGAGTCTTTGACAATATTGCGATTTTAATGTACCATACTGAATAATTAAGAACATTCTCAGTCGGGTCGGAAGGGTTAACAATTCCCTATTCACACCACCGAAACGCGTGCTCTGCCCCCACCACTCGGTATATTGTGTTCGGTCGTAGAGGACGACGTTACGGGGGGAATTCATTCGGTTACCGAACTTCGAGTCGATAGGACGTGTTGTTCACATTCGCATATTCTATCATTTCTGGTACTTATCCTAACGATTACTACACTCTCTTACTACTTTTGCCTAATGAATTAATACACTTTTCTTCGATACCTTATCTAATTATC